GAAAGAGTTTTGTAGTTTTACTGAACTGCTCTCGTTTCAACTCAGAACGTTTGTAGAAAAACTATGTAACCAAGTACAATTTATCCATGATTGTATGGTTAACCGCTGAAATGGTTTGAGCATGATGATTAATAATTGTCCTTTGTATTCTGGTGCATCACTCTTAGGGTGTATTATGGTCAAATTTTACTTATTAGACGTGTTATTGTGTGAAGCTTGAATGTGTCAATCGATAGTTTACTCGACGCCCTAAATTTTTAGAAATTGCTCAAGTTATGATATTGTGCCTAAATCATGACTCCATAGAGGACATTATATATATACATGTGTGTGTGTGTCCAATGCCTTGAGGGGATGGTTACAGTGCCTAGTTTAGGCTCAATACCCCGGTGCCTGTTGAATCGCCACGACTTATTGCAGTGCCTCAACCCTAGTAATCATATTTGTGCAGTTCTCAAATTTAAGTTGTGATTCTACCTGTTGGAAGTGTAAGCGTTGGAGTTCGATTTTGAGTTTGTCTCGTGTAGAGGAGAGGAAGGAGTGTTCTTGAGTTTCAAAAATATAGAGAGGCTTGAGTGTGGTATAATTTATATAATTTTTCTCATTTTTAATAGTGGATTTTTTTATGTAGTGTTACCCCGTGGTTTTTTTCCTGTTCTCATATTCCTCCACATAAAATTTTGGTGTTTTTTGTATTTTCTATGAATTTTTTGTTTTGTGTGTTTTTGTTCTAATTTTTACTTGGGATATCTCGATTTGGTTTTTCCATCTCTCTCCTAACAAGTAGTATTAGGGTCGGGTTTTTGAAGTTCTTTGGTTCGAGTAGGAGCAATGGTCAACGAAAGCGAGGTACAAGATTAAGAAGTTTAATGGTACAAATTTTGTTTTCTAGAAAATACAAAATGAATATTTTCTGTGTCAAAAGAAATTATATTTGACACTGGATAGAATCACCAAGAAGTCAAAATTAATGAATTTGGAAATGGGAAGTTCTTGATTGAACATTGTGATCCGACTTTCAATTTTTTAATCTGTTGCTTTCAACCTTGTTAATAAGAAGACTAGTATTGATCTTACGGTTGCACTAACAAGAATTTAGGAGAAATTTTTGAATTTAAACAAAGTCTTTCTGATGAAGAGATTATCCAATAAGAAGATGATGGTTGACAGCATAGTGGCTGAACATTTGAATAATTTCAGTACTGTGACAAAACAGTTGTGTTCTATTTGCATCTCAAGTTTGATGATGTGGTAAGGGCACCATTATTCCTATCTTCATTAATAGTTAGCTGGGATGGACTAGTTCTTGTGGTAACTCTTCAGATAATATGAAGTTAAACTCTGATGATATTGTGGAGTAAGTGTTTTGTAAGAAGACTAGGAATGAAACTTCAAATTCTGCTTTGAATGTTAAACCAGATGACAGAATTTGGATAGAAACTTAGGCAAGGATTAATTCAAGTACAGGAGATGAAAGTCAGTAAGAGAAAAAAGAGACGTGAATGTTGGAGCTACAGGAAGAAATGTCACTTTAAAAAGGAACTTAAAGTTGTAATACCCAAAATTTTTACATAGGATAATTAACTACAATACTCAATCATATATTTCAGTATTGGATGCTTCAATATGTTCATTAAGATGCATTTTTTATGCTATTTAAGCCTTTAAAGCATTTTTCAAAATAATTGGTTAATAAATAATAAATAAATACTCAAAAATATATAAAAGAAAGTTTTGATCCATAAATTTTGAATAATTTTTATGAGTCTAACTTACAAACTGCCTTCACTAAAATATTGAAAATGATGAATTTTAAATGCTATGATTTTTCCATATTTTTTATAATAAATATAAATATGAAAATATAAGATTAATGGTACAATTGTAATTTATGTATATGTGCGAGTATAAATTTATTTTTAGAGCCATCCGATATATGTTTTGGAAACTGTTTTCACCAGAGTTTCCTAGACATGATAAACAATCTTATAACTATTTTTTTATAATATTTGGAGTTTTGTATTTGAAGATATAAGCGGCTTTATATGAACTATGAAAATGAAAGTACTTGGATAATTGTAATACACCTTCTTAGAAATATTTCACTCATTTATCACTTATAGAATCTTCATGTTGAGCTTCCCTTTCCTTAAACCGTAAGCCATTTTGGTGAAAATAAGGGAGAAAGCAAGGAAGAGAGAAAACAAAATCTTGTTTTTGGAGGAGGCTGCATCTCGATTTTTGTGCAATCTGCTACTTGAAAAAAATGTCCGATTCAAGGTAGGCTACTGTTATATTATCTTTGATTCGAATCATTTTCTTTTTGTGTATTTTCCACACTCTTAGTTGCCCAAAACTTGCAAAATTGATGGTATCTCCTTATTTTGAAAACTTCCACCGTGTAAAAAAACTTTTAATAGGTATCTCCTTATTTTGAAAACTTCCACCGTGTAAATTTTAATGTTGTTGCCTAAGCTATTCTGTACATTTTGGTATATGTATATTAAATTTTGGCCAGGTATTTCTTTTTTTTGAGGTAAAAATTCTGATTTGAGTTATATAAAATGTTATGAAATATAATTAAACTTATATATACCATGAAATACTGACATAAAGATGAGTACATACATGCTTAATATGTAAATTTTATTTTGATTGGTGCAACAGTTTGGCTATATTATTGTATATTATGGATTTCCCAATTTTTTTTTTATATGCATGCTTTACATATATATTGTAATGTCGAATATATTATGATTTTTTGAAAAAGCTATGATATTGTGGAATGTGTGTATGCAAGAAAGACTGGTTACTGCGCAGGAGGGTGAGCCGACAGACTTATCTTTAAATGGGTTAATGATGTAAAGATGATACATGATGGTAATTATAAGGGGTGATATGATATGATATGATACGAGTGCCGACAGACTATGGGTAACGACTCAGGATATTTTGTTGAGGTGGGTTAAGGGGAAGTTGATCCTACTCTCTTCCTCCCTTGGCTTTGTTTTCCAATGCCCCTTAGAATTTGTTAGAAATTCTATAATAACCTGATAATCAAATGCAAAGAACTTTGAATAGTAGTTATCGGGAATATCAATAAGGCATAAAAGGTTGTGTCAAAAGGAACTTATATCAATAAGACATAAGAGGTTGGTCAAAAGGAACTTACCTGCCCCGCACAATAACTCGCCCGTCAACGGACTCATGGGTGTTAGAATAGTATTATTGAACTACTGGTGCAATGGCATGACCGACAATGTTGCAAAATCTATCCCATAGTCAACTCGATATCATGGCTTGAATCGCAGGCCCCGGGTTATGAAAAATTCTCTTGAGAATCAATTTCTTTCTCAAGATTGAATTGGAATATCGCTGGGATGCCGCTAAACCTACAAATTTTCTTTCATCATAATAGGTAACTCACCTACCCCTCATCCTAAGCAGCATTGTGGAATGCTTTAGAAAGGCTAAAGAGAAAACCCCAAAAACTCACGATAAAATCCAAAAAGGAACGAAGATATTACCTAAGAGGAGGAAGAGCCAACAGATCCGAGCAATTTGCGGTGGATTTGTGCCCCCGGGAGGTTTCTACTTCTAGTTAAGGTATGGCGCAGAAGCTTAGAGGCATTGAGGAGAAGAAATGTGTGAAACACGGAGGCGAAACGGGCTAAAAAAAAGGAGAGGACGTGGTCACGCGGATCACGCTTGACGCCCAGGCCATGCTGGCGTGGCCACACCCCTTTGGAAGATCTTAGCCTTGACTTAGTTCTAAGTTTTCCTAAGACCAAAAGGTCATATTCTATCATAGTGGTAGTAGATAGATTTTCCAAAATGTCTTCCTTTATAGCATAAAAGAAGACCTATGAAGCCATTAATGATGCAAAATTGTTCTTTAGAGAAATATTTTGACTGGACAGTCTTCCTCACAGCAGCACCTCAGATCGCGATGTGTAGTTCATGAGTTGTTTTCGAAGAGAGTGGTGAAAGCACCTACAAACCAAACTCAAATTCAATGCATATCACCCCCAATATGATTGACAGACTGAGATTGTTATTCAAACATTGAGTAATATGCTATGATGTATTGCAGGTGACAAATGAAAACAGTGGGATGATATGTTAGGGCAGTACAATTTTGCTTTCAATGCTGTTGTTAATAGAACAACAAGTAAAACACCCTTCGACATTGTGTACGCAAAGGAACCAAACCATATGGTGGATGTGATTGTATTACCCAATTCTTAGAATCCAAAAGATGTAAAATTAGTTAAGGACTACGATCAAATGCTATGGGACGCGAAGACCAAAATTGCTGACAGTAATCAATTGTATACAAAAAAATGTGATGAACATCTCAGGAAAACAGTCTTTAACCTAAAAGACTTAGTTATGATTTGCACATGCAAAGAGAGGATTGCTACTAAGACATTATAATTAACATCTCAAGAAGACTGTATATCTGATTAAAGCTTGCATCAATGATACTGCTTATATAGTTTATCTTCCCTCCTACTCATATGCTTTTAAAGTAACAGCTTTTTATAGTTATCAACCACTATAGGAAGGAGTCGTGCCGATTACCGAACTCGAGAAGAGCTCTTCTGTGTATGATGGAAAATGATGCAACTGCTATGTGTTGTGTACCCAAATTTTTTTATTTCTAATTTATCTGTTTAATCCCTGCTTTCTTACTATATTTTAATTTTTAGTAGTACATGTTTTTTTTAGTCTTAATAGTAGTTAAGAGTTACTTATATAGGTTTAACTAGTACCAAAGGACAGTCTGTTGTCATTATTCCTCTACCTGTTGCAGACAAGATATTCTTCCCCGTCTCCGTTTTCTGTTCCTTTGTTATGTTCAAGTTGTGTTGCATCAACTAGATACTGGCCTTTTTGGTGATTTAAAATACCCAATTGATGTTGACAACGTGCTTAGATTAGGCATCGACATTATTTGAGTGAGCAGCTGACAATCTTTTCTGCTTCCAAGAGGTCAATGTAATTGGCGATGACAAAGGCAATGTTATTGTGATGAGAGGGAGGAAACAATTTCGTAGGAGTTAGAATGTATCCAAATTAATGTAATTAGTCGATGAAAATTGACAAACATTGATGTTTTTAATAGTAGTCGAATGATGATGATCGAGTGACGATGTCTTGACAGTAATAGTTCAACAGTTGTAATTGTTAAGTATCTATTGATGGGTAGAGCTTTAAGATTCATTAAGCTTTAAGGTTCATTAAATTCTTTAGCTCCATACAAGTCTATATCCCTACATGTAGAGTGAGTGTTAATTTATAAATTTTATAATAATTTTTTGGTTATTCTCGTCAAAAGTTTTAAAAATTCTTTAGCTCCATACAAGTCTATATCCCTACATATAGAGTGAGTGTTAATTTATAAATTTTATAATAAGTTTTTGGTTATTCTTGTCAAAAGTTTTAATTTTTTTTTCAAAATTTTTAAACATTCCATCACGTGGCTTAAAAGAATGCCCTTGATTATTTGATATTTTAAAAAAAAATTGAATGTTAGTGACAACAAAATTTAATGGTCATGAGCTCATTAAATTTCTCTTGCTATGATACTTATTTTGATTGTAAATTCATAATAAACAAAATTCATTTAGGGTGTGTTTGGGGCAGCTTGTGCGTTTCAGGATGAGCTGCTTATCTTGAGCCTGCGGCCTACATTTAGTGTAAAAATTCAAACGTGATTTCGGATAAGCGGACGAAACGCGCGAACCAAACGGTACGGCGACGCTTTCAAAACGCCGCCCTCACTTATAAGCTGCCCCAAACGGGCCCTTAGTCCAATTGTATGAGTTTTGATCATATATTTCAATGCATTATTTAGATCCATTAGGATTTAAATCATATTATTTTCTTATGTCGTTTAGTTTATCTTATTCAAACATTTTTTTTTACTATAATTTTCTTAAGTTCTGATGGTTGGGAAGCCGGGCATAAACATTACATTACGATCCATATTTCCTATTAAGGGATTTTCTTATTAAAATAGTAATAGTAATAATAATAATTCATAATCATTGGCACACATTATTTTTTGAAAAAATTAGGAAGTAAAATTTTAAAATCAAATCGTCTAATCTCCAAGTTAAAATCAGATGATCATATATCATTAGGTCACTAGCATACAGGGCAGAATCAGCTTTTTTTTTTTTTTTAAGGGTGGTGAATTGCCTTCCTAGTCCCAACATGGGAGGTGGGGCTAGGGCAACAAATACAAAATGATATTTTAGTAGGGGCAAAATTGATATTTCAAGAGCGATAAAATTCATATAAGTAAAAATAAGAATTTGAGGAAGACAATTGCCCTCTGTACCCTTCCTGGGTCCGCCTCTGCTAGGGCTGTCAAAAAAGCTCGTTGTTCGCGAACAGTTCGTGTTCGGTTCGTCAATGAGTTCGTGTTCGATTCGTTCGATAAGTAAACGAGATAAACGCGAACAAATTTTTTTCGTTCTGTTAGTTAAACGAACCAAACACGAACAGTGATGCGTTCGTTCGCGTTCGAATCGTTATTGTTTGAAATATAAAATAATATAAAATAATTATATGTACAAAATTTATTATATTTTAAAACATTAAATTTTATAAATTATAATATATAATAAAATAATAATATTATTAATATTAATATACTATAGTAGTAATATACTAATATAGATATTGTATATTTATATAATATAAGTTATATAATTAATATATAATATTATTTTTATATATTAATATTAGGGATGTCAAATTGGCTCGTCGTTCGCGAACAACTCGTGTTCGGCTCGTTCGTTAAGAAACGAACACGAGCTTATTTCAAACAAACTCAATTTTAAACGAACCGAACACGAACACAAGCTTTGTTCGTTCGTTTTTGGTTCGTTTACACCCCTAGCCTCTGCTAGCATATAGGGTGTGCATTATTTTTGTGAAAAATTGTAAAAACAAAACCAAATCAAGTTCATTTGGGCGATTCGACTCAGCTCTGAGATAGCAATTGAATTTTTGGTTTTAAAATTTTAATATTTCAATTTCAAGTCCCAGATTGGTTTTGATCTTCACCAAATTAAATAAACCAAAAATAAATTAAATTCACTTGAAAAGTACTAAATGGAGCACATAGCATGCTTATTTCTAATTTGCTTAAAATTTCTAAATATGAATGGAGCGTGTGTAATTTCTAGTTTTGGAGTATAGTGTCAAAATATCTTAATTTTAGGATCAAGTTTAGTCAAAATTAAATTGATTAAACCGAAATATATTTATATTCCATTTGAATCATTTAAGTAACAATTTGTCCGGTTTGATTTTTTATATTACAAATTTTGATCAATTTAATTGGACCAATTTCATATTCATTTAAACTGATTTGCAAACTAATCCAAACTAGGGCTGTCAAAATGACTCGTTGTTTACATATTCATTTAAACTGATTTGCAAACTAATCCAAATTAGGGCTGTCAAAATGGCTCGTTGTTTACGAACAACTTGTGTTCGGCTGGTTAAGAAGCTCGTGTTCAGCTCATTCGCTAAGGTAACGAGCAGAACACAAACAACACGAGCAAATATTTCTTCATTCGTGTTCGGCTCGCTTTGACTTGAAATATTACTAATCAATTATATAAATATATATATTTTATGAGTAATATTTTTAAAAAATTTAATTGACTACAAGGCTACAAAGATTTATAATCAATTAAAAGTATTAATTAAAAAAATAAAATAAAAATTATTAGTCAATTAATTTTTAAATATTATTATTTCAAGATTTAATAACTTTGCCTCAATTTTTAACATCTTATGGCTACGTGATTTAGGTTGTCAAAATGACTCTTTGTTCGTTAACAGCTCGTGTTCGGCTCGTTAAGCAAACGAGTTGAACACGAATACACTTTTTAAGCCAGACTCAGCTTGTGTTCGGCTCATTTACACCCCTAAGCCAAACAAACCGAAGAATTGCAGTATGGCAAGATTTTTATAAATTTATTATTATTATTAGTACAAATACTTAATACATAAAAATATTCAATAAAAAAAACATATTAATACAAAATAAATTCTCATAACATTTGATGTGTTATTTTTATTTTTCTGACGATGAATAATAAAGTTTAAATTATATAAAATGAAATCATCTCCTTATCCCCATTAAATAAATTTCACATAATTTTAATTTTTTTCACATATTAGTTGAGTTAGGTGAAGAAAAATCACAACGGTTTGACGTATGAAAAGGAAGGACGGCGCCTTCTGTGGACCGAATGCCACGTGGACGGTAGATATGTCCTACCCAAATTCAAAGCATGCCTGTGAAAAGGAAAAACAATTGGGTAGGAAAGGAAATTTCAACTCGATTGAATTAATTTAAGTTGAATATAATATAAATTTAAATAATTATACGTATATGAACTCACTTCTTTCTTCTGCATTAAGAAAAATTATTTTATATGGATACCGCATACAGAGATGCATACTATGTTCAATGTACACCGTTGATCACCGCAAAGATGTATTTCAGTGGGACCCACTTTTTTTTTTTTTTTTTGTGTGGGGTCTTTTTTTTTTTTTTTTTTTTTTTTTTTTTTTTTTTTTTTTTTTTTTTGATTAAGCGCATAACATTTTACTCCATTTATATGAACTCACACCTTTCTATTACTCTTTCTCGTACGCGTTTCTAAGCATCACTTCTGATTAAAAGTAAGATCTTGTTTTTCCTATGATTGTTCTTTCTGCAACCTTCAACTTCTGATCTTCAGTTTTTTTGAACTTTTATCTTTCTGTTTGATGTTTAGTTGTAGCGCTTCGATGGATCTGGCTTTCATTAAAACTTGAAGAAGTTTAATTTCTATAAAGAACATGGCCATTATGTATCAGATTACAGGATGGTTGTTCTTTATTTTATTTTGAAGTTCGAATTCTGATAAGCTTGTGATTACCTTTAAACCTTTTGATCTAGGGAAAGTAAAGCAATAGAAGGTCTTTGGTTTCTCGCATTAGGATTTTGTGTTGTTGCTTCCGGTGAAATCCTGTCATTGGCCCTGCTTGCTGTGCAAATTTAGGGGCTGTTTGGCTGTTGATCAGATTTTATTTATTTATTTATTTCATATAAATGTAAATTTTTGTAAATGTTGGTGTTGTTAAATCCAAAAAATTGTGTTAAATCTTCCTAAATCTTAATCAATTGTTCAATAGATAATTTCTAGACTTAGAATTTAAATGAAAAAGAAGAAGAGGCGAGATTAGGAGAAGTGATGTAAATCTCTTAAATCTTATTTCTCTTTGAATTTATTAGATTTGGGATTTTCCCTAAAATGAAAGAAAATAAGATTTGAGAAGGTAGCTGGATTTATGTGGCTCAAAAAATATTTTACAATTAGGATATTCTTGTAATTCTAGGAGATTATGTACTACAAAGAAAATGTTGGGATCTATAAAATTTTCAATTTAATGTACTACATAAGCAAACGCATCTCTCCACTGAAAATTTTCAATTCCCATATACATAGAGTGTTTGAGACATAAGAATTATTTTCAAACTATATAGACCACAAGACTTTCCAAATCATGAACTATTCAAGAGAAAGAATTCTTAGAAGAATTGAATTGCAGCATCAAAGAACCTTTTTACTGATAAATTTATAGGAAATGGGCCTATATGAGACGAATGTTTGTACTTTTCTATTACCTTTACGTACATTTTTCTCCATACTCTTAAGAGTTATAAATCCTATCAATGCTTGTCAACTTTTGTTTTGCTATATATATATTTTCTTGGACAATTGCCAAAACTGTTGGCAGCAAATCTTCTATTCCAATGGCTGGGAAACAAAAATAGAACTTATTCATCATGCATCGCATTCAAAACATTTATTTGCAAATATTATCACATTTTGCAGGATATGCACAAGAGTGGAAATTAGGTCCACCTAAGTGAAATTAAACTTAATTTCATAACATGCATTTCTTTGGGCTATAGGTGTCGAAAAATGGGAGGTGGGAAGAACAAGCATGATGGATCAGATAGCCATGATAAAGGGCTTTTCTCCCATGGGCATGCTCATCCTCATGAACACCACCCCCCACAAGGCTATCCTCCAGCTCCTGGTGCTTATCCTCCGCAGGGGTACCCTCCACAGGGTTATCCCCCACAGGGTTACCCTCCTGCTGGGTATCCTCATCATGGTTCATCTGCATCTCACCCACAAGGTATGCATGAAAGTATTTAATACAGTGCTATGCTTTATCTCTTTCATGATATTTTTTTCTGAGGGCATTTATATACGAAGGACATTGGCACAGCTACAAAATAGAAAGAGACAAGGAAACAGGGGATAGAGAACCAGGAACTATACTTCCATAATCATTAGCAAGCAAAAAGGTGTCTGCCAATTTGTTATAGCAAATATATATACATATGTATAGGTCTCTCCACTATCAGCACTATCATACATACGTATAATAAGAATAAAGCTAAACACAAATAAATGTCTAATATCCAGTACTAATTAGTAATAAAATACTAATGAGGAAGTATGGGATATAACAGTTGCTGCTTATACGAGAATTCATTGCATCAGTTCCCCTTTGGTTCAGAAGAACTCGACCCGAGTTTGGCGATTTGCTACATCCATCATCCAGTGGAGCCGAATCATCACTAGATCCCCAACATTAAAAACCTTTCTTCTGCGATGGTCATCCACTTGCTGCTTGTACTTTTCATTGCTCTCGATAATTTTTTGCTTCACGTTGCATTACGATTCATCAAAGTCACATGCCATTTTGATCGCTTGGGAACTTTTCGGTTTAGGAATTACAACAACATCAACTATATGGTTTGGTTTTTCAGCATACATAACACTGAAGGGAGTTTTTCTTATTGTTCTATTTCTAGTAGCATTAAGAACATATTTGGCTTGACTCAAGACATCATCCCATTGTTTTGGATGTTTACTCACAAGACATCGAAGTATATTTCATAACCAGCAGTTTACCACTTCAATTTGTTTGTCCGATTGTGAATGATAGGCTGTGTTGAATTTAAGTACGGTTTGTAGAAATTCATGAAAAAAAAAAAAAAAAAAAACTAAGAAACTTGATATAGGCCAATGCTCCTTGCGATAGAACTGCTCCTATTCCCATAGTCTCAATTATACCTTATATCATTAGTCCTGTCGTACTAACTTCACTCACGGAAAAATTATTGTATCAAGACACTTTATATAACTTTGTATTAAATGTCTAATGATATGGCGACACGTGGCAACCTGGGCCTTAGCCGTATATGTCAGTGAATTCAAATTATCACATGAACTCGTATTATTGGACACCTAATACAAATTAATGCAAATTCTACAAATTCTGATGCAATAATTTCTCTCAGGTACGTATGACACCTCACGAGTTCCCTTCGTACCCTACACGTTCTCGGCTTGGAAA